CAAAGGCTCGAGTTTAAATTGTGCAGCTAGTAACTAGTTCATTGTACCTCCTATATGCTTTAAAAAATATTTTCTTAAGCAGAGCTAGCAAAAAAAGTCTTCAAATACATTTGAGTATCAGTAATTTAATGCTAACACCAAACCCAGGTTAAAATAATACATTTGCATACAGATCAGGAGATTGTGTATGACATAACTTTTCATGGAAAATTATGATTGAGCAGAAACAGCAGGAATTAACTCTTCTGTTTTTCAGACATTTTAAAAATGTTAGCTCTGACCAGAAAAATCTTGCTTAATAAAGCAAGCCTAAAAGATACTAATTTTTTTCTCTACTTCCTGCAAAATTTTAGGGGAAAAAAGTAAATTCTACTCCAAAGTATGACTCCTTGCACATACAGTGTTTGGAATTACTAGGAAAAGCCCACTGCTAATTGAATTTATGACTTTACAAGTGAAAATACAGCAGCTGAACTAACAAAATCAGGTTGAGTGTTGATGTTTTGTTTTTTTTTTTTAATAGCTACCTCTTATACCAGTAAATTCTATGGCAGAAATAAATTTTATTCCATATTACCTATCTGTTCTACTTTAACTACCAATGTCAGTGCAGGAAGTTCATAAATGTGAATCCCCAGGAGGCTTTCACGCATTACTGAGAACAGTAAAATGAATGGTTATGTATCTGTAATCTGAACTTTGAGATGAATATAAGCAAATTGTGAGTGCACATTTTTCAAATGATTGCACTCATTGTTTTCCGCTGACTCATGATTGCTGGCAGAAATGAATAATACATTTTAATACAGTGTAGACATTCAGCAATCACAAATAAAGAGAGTATGTATGAGTATATATCCATCTTCTAAGCATACATAATACTAAACCTATAGGTTGTCATCTGGTTTTAATACTAAAACACCAAATAATTTATAATGCAGATCTGTAAAATATATATAGAACACTGCATCAATCATGCACAAGTACTTGTGCTGTTCAACATTTCTGTAAATCCTCCATTAAACTTAAATTTGAGACTGAACCAAAGACTTATACGGATCAAGTCATGGTTGCTTGGAACAGTGAAAGAGAGACATAAAATGCTGCGCTATTTCATGTCAGAATTATTTGCAGTTCACTTCATTATTTCAGAGAATATTAGTGACTGAAATACAGTGCACTCCAGATTAAAGCCAGTACTTATTCCTTTTCTTTAATTCAGGAGGCAATTACTAAATGACAATTGGGAGAGCAGCTGACAGGACTCCTAAATTATTCAACACAATCAGTACACTGCTAATGTAAGCAAAGAGCGAGCAGAGCCTTGTGCAGCTATTCACTAATACTGTCAAATAAGAAAGAAATAACTATTTGAATACGATGAATGTCTTGCTTTTCATTTCCACATTTACTATCAAGCCTCGCAACATACCATGAACAACTGACTAGTCCACACAACGATGACTCGTTCTCTACAGAAAACACACAGAAAAATGAAAATTCAACCATTATATCCTGAAAGGTGGCTGAACGTATAAAGCCCATGTGTCACCTAAAACCATTCTATAGTAATGTAAAACTTTACAAACATAAATAACACATGGGAAAGTGTTATTTAAGTAAATACACACTGTACTGTATTTAAGTAAATACATACTGTACTAGTATTTACTTAAGCGAAACTTCAGACACATGACTTCTTGGAGAATTAAACACAACATCCAGGAAATTAATGGTTACATACGCTTCCAAGTCAACTTCAAAGTGTCATATACAAATATGAACGATATTCTGCTTTAACAACAGTTTACTCCAGGTACAATTTGAAAAGTACTGTGCCATAAAAGTGTTCACAGCTTCTGAAGTTTTTTGGCAAAGATAATGAATATTCCACATCTGCAGGGCTGCTGCAAGTTCATGAACTACAGAAATGAAAAAATGCCTTCTTTAGGTAGCCTAGTTCTTGTGTAAAAATCCAAAAATAATACACCCTAGTAACAGCATCCACAAGGAACCAGAAACTTGGCCCCAAAATAAGACAGAGCAGTAAAGGGCTTATGGCAACTACCGCTGCTGATGTAGGCTCCAGCATTTGTGTTAGGAAGAAATCAAGCATAGCATAGCTCAGCCTTTCCAAACCATGCACTGGTTTGGGGGGAGGTAGGGAATTCTGTGTCAACATCTTTAATAAAGCAGATGTGACTCATTGCACTCTCATTTAAAATCAGAAACTGAAGTCTCTCCTGTTTCCACTGAATCAACAGCAGAAGCATTGGGCACAGTAGCACTGGGGCTGGGATTCTTCATAACTTTCTAGTATCAGTACATTCCATTCAATTAAATCATAGAATCTGAAACTGCAGTTTTGTGACACAGTGGTCCAATCCTGGCTTTGGTTTGTCTCAACACCCTGACTCACCTTATCTTTTGCAGTGGCACCAATCACAGAAAAATGCGGGATTAATTTGATCGGTATAACTTCCCCATAATTCTTCTTAAGCTGCTTTTTTCATGCAAGAACATATTTCGTTTACAAACTGTTGTTTCAATAAACCAAGTAACCTGAGATATCTTTGCTCAATGTAATTCGAATGCTGAAAGTATCTGTTAGGTCATGTTGGGTTTTGCCTCTTTTTTCTTTTTCTTTTTTTTTTAATTATTATTCTTGGGATGAGAAAAAGGCATTTTTCAAACTCTTATCTGCATCTTTCATCTTTTCATTTAAATTCTTTAACCAAAATTCAATAATCATCCATTAGAATTTCAACACCTTGTAGTCCCACAGTGGTCTGTTCAGTTACTCCTAGAAACATCCAGGGAAAGAACTAATGCCAAATGGTACACTCTAAAGTTTGTAACATTCAAATGATGTATTTGAAGTAAAAAATGTAGAACTTGCTTCACTTACATTCGCCTGTCAAAATATATATCCTGCATCTAGTTCCTTGATGATTTTTTTTGCTTCATGTGAGCTTTAATTATAAATTCAAGAGAAAACTCCTATGTAAGTAACATTCCCTGTAAAGGTCATAACATATTCAATATATCCACCATTTGTGTGAAGTTGATGCACTGCCCTGCTCACCTGTGGAAGGCATGTTTTCTCTGCAACAAGGGCCAAACCACTTTGCTATACTGTCCTTGACCACCACTCTTTTATTTTCTCTTTTTTTCACTTTTGGACAACCAACTCTACTGTCCCATGCTTTGCACACTGAAATTCACTAGGACACTCAGCAACTAATCTCTAACAAACTTTAATACTCCAAATTTCAGAGTGAAACTTCCTGTTGATGTAAAGTGGGTTTTATTCACAGTCAGGATTTGGGGCACCAGCGAGTAACCAGCTTTACACTTCCATTTGGTATGTGAACCAGCCTTAGGCAGGGTGCATCACACAGAGCATATATCTGGAAATATTGTGGCCATAGGCCAAAAAGCAAACCTTGAATTCAACAACTCCGTCAAAAGAACTCCGTATCACTCGGAACAGCCCACTTTCATTTGAGGTTACCTGGTGAATCACACAAATTTGACTGTATACATATATTACAGGTATTTACTTTAAAAGTAAACTTACTATTAAAAAGTATTTAACAATTATACTGCAAATATTAACTTTTCTCATAACTAGAAATGGAACTTGACCATTAGCATCCATGCAAATATATTTATTTTGACAAAATTTAAATGAGGAAAGGACAAAAACTTGTCAATTTTTTGAATCTTATTTCCTAAACATAGCCCATGATGTTGTTTGCAAAAGTTCTTAGAGGCTAAACAGTGTAAACTACTGTAAATGCAAGCACTGTCAAACAAGAACTTTTTATTTCAGTTAAGGCTTGGGGAAACTGAAAAATTCAGTGATGAGCAGCTGAATGATTCTTGAGAGACATCTCAAGAAAACTTAATTACATTTTTGAAACTACATTAAAGAAATAAACCTCACTCCGTCAGAAACTACAATGTTACAAAATCTATGCATGGGGACATTCATTTGCTTGTACTGATTTTTATACAGAGTCTAGCTGAAGGATCACACTTTCATGTCTTACAAAAGGATATCTAAATCATGCAGGGCACAGCCAAAGCTACTCAGAAATATCAGGTAGCAATTTCCATTTCTTGTTTTCCCCCATCCAGCAGTTAGCTAGTCTAAATCTTAAATAGTCTGTTTAAGCCTGTATGGAAAATCATTTATATCTTTATAGCTTTTTCAAGGATACTCATCAGTATTGTCCAAGAGTTGGTGCAAGAGCTCTGGAGCTCACCTGGCCTAACACCTATGCTCAAGCAGCATCAGCTAGAGCCAGTTGCCCAGGACTGCATCCAGGTGGCTTTTAAATATCTCCAAGGATGAAGACTCCACCACCTCTCTGGGTAACCTGTGCCAGTGCTGGTCACCCTCATAATAAAAAAGTGTTTCCTGTGTGAAACACACCTTGTGTGTTTCAGTTTGTGCTTGTTGCCACTTTTTCTGTCCTTGAGCACCACCTGGCTTCATCCTCTTTGCACCCTCCCTGCAGGAATTCATACATATTGATGAGATGTCCCCTTGAGCCTTCCTTCTCCAGGCTGAACAGCTCCAGATAGTAGAATCATGGAAACACAGAATGGTTTGGGTTGGGAGAGACCTTAGAGCTCATCTAGTTCCAGCACCCCGATCAAGAAGCAACCTGGCCTTGAACACTGCAATGGATGGAGCATCCACAACTTCTCTGGGCAACCGGTTCCAGTGCCTCACTACCTTCAGCCTATGCTCACGTGAAATGCTCCAACCCCTTACTCATACTTGTGCACTCATGCACATCCTGTCATGAACCTTGGATTTATGTATGTTCAGTTTGCTGAAGTATTCCCTTTCCTAACCTCCAGGGTACATCCTCCTTGCTCCATCCCCAAAGGCCAGTCTTGTTAGTAATGGCTGAGGCAAGGAACACATTCAGTACTACCACCTTTTCCATATCCTTTGCAACAGGTTCCTCTTATCATTTCTTTACCACATTATCTATGTGCCTTCTAGCTCCATTAGGAAACGAGCCAAGGGTATCTGTTAAACACCCTTGACTACCTCACAACCTCCAAAAAAGAGGGAAGAGCAAGGACAGCACAAAGTGGCTCTCCTATTTGTTAATTTAAAGGCTACCACCTATGAAGGTAATGGAGCTATTCAGCAAAAAGTATGACTCTTTTTCATAGTGAAAAATCTTTTCATAATCTTTTTGTAATTGTTTTCATGGTGAGAAAGATTAGACACTGTTAGATCGCCATATTACAAAAAGATGTTGCTATTGACAATTTTGCTAACTTACTTTCCTAACGTATTTTCTTCTTATTTTATAGGCGGATAAGTGAAACGAGTTAGATAATTTATTCAAGTCCATGTGGTGCTAGAATCAGGTTTAGCTAGTACGTTCCTGCATTCTTGTGCTCCATTCGGTGAACCAAGGCTGTTCTTTTTCCTTTGAAAGGTGTCAAGGTCAGACGTAAGAAATAGTTGTTTTAAATAACTATTTAAGGAAAGATGAGGGGATATTTTATTTCTTTCAGTTCAACCATTTACCTAGAAACAAAATATTTTCTTGGCAGATAAGCTGCAACATTCCACCAGGCTGAAAATCTCAGTTTCACCTTACTCCTCTATAGCCTATCTCATGTCACAGAAATATACGCCTTGTTAGTCTATTTTGTATTCCTCTTTTGTTTGACAGTACTCTCTTTTTTGTGAAATATTTCTGTGGAAAGGAAAAATGTGCATGAATTCATCTTTTTATGTCCTAACTTCAATTTCCAAACCATGTTTTCTCCCTTGTCTTTGTTTAATACTATGAATACTGCACAGTGAAAGAACTGGATATTCAACAGACCTTTTCAGACTAGAGGTAGAGATCGGTTTGCTGTTTTCTGAGGTATTGGTTGGTTGGCTGTTTTTTTACAAGGTTAGGAAAGTGTCTTTCTGAATAAAAAAAAATAATCTCATTTGCAAGCATACTTGTCAAACTTCGCTCTTACAACATGCTACCTTAACTGAAAGCACACTTCACTAACAAAACTATAGAGCAACTTAACAATTGATCTGACAAAACAAAACCATTACGACATCCATTAAAAAAAAAAAAAAGCAACAAGCCAAACAATAAAAAAAACTAAAAAAAACCACAAAACCAAACAAAAAACCCCCAAAACAAAACAAAAAAAAAACCAAACCAAAACAAAACAAAAAGCAAAACCCACAAGAAACTCTCAGTAGTGCTGGGCTCTTCCTTGCAATATACAGAACACAAAACCCTATTACTCCTCTCAAAAATGCATTCAAATCCTCTTAATAAAATTGAACCGTGTTTTACCTATTACAACTACAACTACCTTACTGTCATTGTTGATAGTTTTCATATAATTTCACAATGTTTTTTTTTTTCCACATAATTGTGCTCTAGATTCAGTACTTTCATAAAGAATATTTAAAAATGCAAACTTTCTAACATTGCTCCATCAACCTGTTATCTCATCTGGATTTTAACACTTGCAAAAAATGTGTGGCCTGGATCTGGAGGTTTTTCAAGGCAGAGATTAGCAATCAAACTTGGAAGAGAGACTGTAAAATTAATTTTTAGAGTGGATAACTGCCAGAAGTCTCTCCTATACTCCATTGTCTTTTCTGTAATTCCTTACATAAGGGAATTAAACAGTGGAATAACTGGCTAAACTCTATAGAAAAGAGTGTATGAGTAGACTCTATGAGTACAAAGAATAAGGGACTCAGGCCCAGATGCAGAGCATGCACTGCCAATGTTGCAAGGAAGCAGTGGGCATGGTCATGAATTTATGTCAGCATGTGTAGGAGCATCCACGGTAGCGCCAATCTAGACAGCACAGTTAAAAATAGCAGTGCAGACAGATGAAAGCAGACTTCAGCATGGCTTAACAATCTGCCCAAAAGGTTTGGACAGCCCTCTAGTAAGTCTAGGCTGACACTTCTTCACATCACATATAGATCAAAGCTAGTATGGATCTGTCTGCATGTCCTGCAATTAAACTACTCAACTACAGTGTAGACACATCCAGAAATAGTGCTACTGTAGATATGTTCATCTAAGAACTGCATTTGCAAAAAGCAAAGCCTGGGAACATACCATAAAGCATATGGGACGTGATGAGGAACATATGCTTGAGACAGTGTCCATTATGCTAAATTGTATTAGCTGGACTAATTCCTTTGCCTACACAATATGCTTTCCTTGTACTCCTGGAGGGCATGATAATGAGCTGGTTGGCCTTTCCTATGAGGATTCACAGTCAGGTTGGATTAACCTGATCCTTCAGGTACGGTGGCTCACCCAGGTTTACTGGCTAATGAAGAGATACAGCTACACTCTAGAGGCAGCTGGAGGCAACCATATTATGTGTAAATGGCACTTGTTCCTCTTCATGAAGTACCAATGCCAGATGCTGAAGCCCTAACCTAAGCAGGCATATTAGTTATTTACCATTTCAAGGCTAGCTATTTCAGAAGAACAAGATAACCAGCAATGCCTTTATCCAGTACTGCTGCTATCAGTGGCAGAACCTACTGTGATGCAGAAACCCAGGAGCTGATGAAGTACCTCAAATTCAGGACCTCCTTCCCTGAAATGGTGGTCTGTTGGTCATCTGCAACATTACATCATCTATTAGCTACAAAATATAAACTACTACACTGCATCCTGTTGAGGATAGCTTACCATTTGTCCAGCAAGTGACCAAAGGGATTTATGTATGCTCTTACACTGACTGTGTAATGAATGATTCACTACAGGGAGATTTTGTGTGCATTTGCTAAATCACAACCAGAAGACAAGTCAAGAAGGAATGCAGCTCTTCAGCATGCTTAGCTGCCTTATGAGGAGAGTATAAAGACACAAAAGCTAGTGTTGACTCTGATGACTGAAGTTGTGGCAGGAATCAGATCACAGCAGCAGGGGTTACATATAGTCTAATTTACCATGGGAAGAAGTGAGCCAGTGAAATTAAGAAAGTTCTGGGTGTGGGGATAAAAATCCCTTGCTGTTGCCTGTCTCTCTGTGGAAACACTGAGCACGTGCACAGTTGTGCTCCACTTAGCTGTCCAGATCTGGGCATCTCAGCACTCAAATCACAGCTTAATCTCCAGTCCCTGGGCAGTGCCACTCCAGTCATTTCGTCTCGGATTCATGAAGTGCTTTACTAGGGAAGTGCAGAGAGACAGTGGTTAACTCCTCCACATAGGGAGCATCATCATAAAGAGCAGAAATACATTTTCCACTACTCTGTTTGCTAATGCACTTCATCTGCGACCTTCAAGAACAACTATAAGGAGGTGGGTGAGAGTTTAATTGCTGTGTTCACTTTTAGAGAATGACAGCTAAATTTGCCAAGTATGGTGTGAAAAACTTACCCATTAGACTGACAATATCAGTGCTTTTGAAAGCATTACTGAGCAGACAAGATAACTGCTGTATCTGTGTAATACATACCAGTAGCAGATTCATATTGCTGAACAATAAGTAATAAATTAACCTCTCAGATTTTGGTGCTCTCAGAAATCTGTTCCAAAAAATGCTTCATTGAGCTATTTGTAAACAGAGGCTTCCTGAATCTAGAATTAAGAGTCAACTTATCACCAAAAGTAGTATCATTACCATTTATCAAGGATAATACATGGTACACTAACACAAACAAACATTAACAGAAACATACTAATTTAGATGCAAACACTCCAAACATTAATTTTTGGAACTGCACCATGTGCTGTGTAACAGCATATCACAAATTTGGTCCTCTTTTAACTTGCAACTAATTGCTTTGACAGCATTTTTCCCAAGATCTGGCCTGTTCAATCATAACAGCACCTACTGTTATCATGAGACTTTACAAGTAGTTCTTCTTTTCCTATGGAAAACTTAGAATGCCATACAAATAACTAATGCAAAGATGTATAAAGAGGAATACAAACTCTGCCTCCTGAAGATTATGCTATTAAATTGTTTTAAGCAAATACCTCATCAAGAAGGTGTAGAAAGTATTATATTCAAAAGAACAGTGAAAAGCTGAATGCTCCATTTTCTAACCTGTTGCTTGTTCCACGGGTACACCACCTCACTCCATTCACATCTATGACAAGGGTGCAGATTAACTTAAACATGAACATGTTAGTCAAGTGGCCCTGGTAACTAGGATTCCACAGATATCAATTGAAAAGCACTGGCGGAGTTCAGGATTACAATATTTATTCAAAGTTCCTTACATGTAGCCACTATAAACCCCTCTACCTCTAGTTTAAAATCTGGTTTAGGTTAATGAAAAGCAAATAATTAATTATGTAAGTCAATTTCCTGGTGATTCCATTCTGTAACTCAAGATAAGTTTTTGGCCCACGTCCTAGCAACAAGCACAAATATTGTGCTTTAGCCAGTGCTCAATGTCAGAATTTACAAAATTATAATATCCCAGTATTTAACATAATTAGGACTTAACATACCTTAAGGCTCTTTGAATATACAAGAAATTAATATTCTTAGCCTGATAGAAGCGTGGGTCAGAGAATGTGACATGAAGCTTATTTACCTTGCTAGCACTCTTCTGCTTCTGTGTACACTAAATTTGGCAGTTTTATTTTGCTTTATTTTGTTGGATTGGCTTTTGTTTTTAAAAACATCTTCGATAGTGTATTTACAAATACTGAAATAAATCTCTCACCTTGCTGACACCTTCAATATTTAAAACCTCAAGTCAATTTGAAAGCAATTCTTGGCTCTTCATAAATTCACTAGTGTGACTCAACTGGAACTGACAGCTTCGCATACAAAAGGCCAAATATTTACAGTGGTATTTTAGTAAAAGAGAACACAAGACATGTACATTCATGTATAAACATGCCAGCAGTTATATGTTACTAGTCTGAGCAGTTAAAGGCATTTCCTATTTCTTAACAAAATGCCAGTCAGTATGGCCAGATCCTGCAGAACTACTACACGGGTGAATAACCAGCAGAGCAGTACAGCTTCAAATCATAATCATGTACATACCCCTGTCATGTGCATGTGAAGTACAGCATGATTTTTACTCACAGAGGTAAACAGGTTTGCTAAAAAAAAGGGGGGGGGGGGAAGCAGTTAAATTCCTAATTGGAATTTAATTTTAAATAGTGAGTTCCAGATTGATACAGTAACAATAAAACAGATGGGGGAGAGAAGGGGGAGGATTTATACACAAGGAGAGGTCACACAGTGTACCAGATTGAGTTTAAAAGATAAGTGATACAATGCCTTTTTCTCCAGTATAAACAAAGAAAAATGATGCCAGCAGTTTGACTGCAAACAAGAACTGGGGAGGAAAAGCAAATGTTTACAGCAAACCTTAGAAACATAATGCTTCATTTTAATCTGAAAAATATATTTTCAGGCATTACTCAATAATTCTTTATAAACTGCAAATCAACTGCATTCATATTCAAAATAAGCTTTCCTAAATGCTCCTTAACATACTAGTAAATACAGCTAATGAAGGATGGTGCCAACTGCCAAACTATGGCAGCTGGACTGCACTTTCCTTTGATATCCCTAGGATCTTCAGACCTCTGAATCACTCAGATTTTATCTTAGAAGATGAAATTACAGTTCCACCTTAGAGAGGTAAACAGCAGGTGATATTTCTATCACAATAATTAATTCATTACTTTTTTCCCTGCAGTTAAAAACTCTCTTGGGACCTTAAATCAATAAGGTATCTGATGCATATGTTCTATTTTCTCATTTCCAGTGGTTCCACTGTGAATATAAATCTATCATACAACCACATTTGCATTTAAAGACAAATTCCCTTGAGTTTACTCTGCACCTGCTCCATGTA